AATAGGGCCCAAGGAGATGTAGGATATTGCTTCGGAACTGGGAAAGGAACTCATCAAAATGAAGAGAAAGCATTTTCCTGGTATCTTCGAGGAGCCGAAAATGACCACGTGCTTAGTCAAAGCACGATTGGTGTACGATATTTGAGGGGAATTGGAACGCCGAAAGATATTATGAAAGGAATCTATTGGTTTAACTTGGCTAAAGAAAATGGCGACAAAGATGCCGAGGAAAACCTCGCCCTGATAGCCAATATCATTATATAAAATGAAAACGATTTCTCACAAACATATGCTCTTCGTTTCGAGACATACTGTATATTATAATATTGTTTGATGCCACTTGTCGTTAGATTGTATTATTGTTAACTTTTTAAATCCTGTATCATTAGATTTACTAATAGTAATAATTTTTTTCATAAATACATCACACACACACACACACACACAGTTGCGCTCTTTCCACTTTTTTTAATTCTTTTGGTCTTTCGTTTATACATGCTGGTTAAATTTCGATGCATTCGTAATCGAAAAAGAATTGTAAAAAAACATTTCTGACTCACTTGGGGTCATCATAGTCGTGACGCAGTAACGTGATTTTGTTCGGCGAATCATAAAAACCATTCTTCAGACGAAAAATCATAGAGATAGGAGCAAGGAGACCTTAAAGGAACAATTTCAACTCAAATAAAATTCGAACACGTTTGTTGTCATTTTAAAATCCCTTCAACTGGTTAGGTTTGCTTAATTTTGCGAATTAGGTAATGTTGTGTAGATAAAATTGCAAAAAGCCGGATGTTATCAAACCTTTCTTTTGTTGAAACGAGAATTTCATATTATGTTGTCGACAGTCTAATCGTCATCAAATGTGATGGTGACGCGTAAAACTCGGTATTCTTGATTACCTCGGAAACTTTGAGCTCACCGGCTACGCGTTCACCGATGTAACCACGTGAATAAAGTGTTCGGGCACTCGAGAAGGATCGAGTACGTAATCAACCCGTAAACTTTAAAGTTGTGAACGCACACATGTATGCGTGCGATGACATAAATGCAGTGCGACCAGCTTGCTGCACATCAATTTTTGTCCTTTTTCAATTCACATACGAAGAGCATCCAAGCATTCATGACTCCTGAAACGAAAAGTGCATACAACACCGCCGAGGAATGGATGAATAGGTTAATCATCTATAATACCTTTAAAAAAGAAAAGATCCCATTTTATTCCTATGACGAGGAATTTACTGATGTGAAACCGATTGGAAGAAAATCGTCTGGAAAGATCTACAAAGCCACCCTCCGGAGTCTTCGAAAGACGGTGACCATCAAATCCATCAATTTAACAGTTGATGATGCCATGAACGAGGTGAGTGCAGTATTGTCCACCGATTATCCAGCATCCATTCAAAAAATTAACCAAAAATCTTGATGATCAAAAGGTTAAAAAACATCGGATTTTGGAAAACCATGACAACATTTTGAAATTTTATGGCATCACCAGACAAGGTAAACAACAGTATTCTCGCTTATTAAATCCATCAACCAATTTCCTTATTTGAAAGTTTGACCGACGCATTCATTTCACAGGAGACTACATGTTAGTCTTCGAATATGCAAATAATGGCACGCTCCGCCAATATTTGAGGGAGAATTATCAAAGAATGAACTGGAACGTCAAGCTATCACTTGCAAGGCAGATTGCGGGTGTAATAGGATTTTTGCATGCAAACGAAATCGTCTATGAAAAATTGGTACCGTAATTATTTCAAAGTAATAATGATAATAGTAGTAAACATATAGATAGATGATGGACGAATTAATGGACGAGTTTCTAGTGTGCTACAACAACAAAAGGATAACTTTTTTTTTTTACGTCGTGGTTCACATAGGATTCCGGAAATATTTTCGTTCACAACGGGAAGATCAAATTAAGTGGCTTTGAAATAAGAAGACAATCAATAAATGCCTCACGTCAAAATTCGAATTCTCAATATCTGGAATCTCCCGGTGTCATATATCGTAAAACTAGTCTAGACCGAAATAGTTTGGGAATTCTTTTATGGGAGATTTCCAATGGTACCCCTCCGAAGGTCATCACAAGTGAAAATAGAGAGCATGTGATCGGAACACCTCGGGCTTATGTAAAAATATGTGAAGGTAATGATGTAACAAGGAACCCGTGTAAATTGACCCTCGTTATTTGATTTGTGCATATTCATTTTTCAAAACCATTCAATAGACTGTTGCCAACCAAATAAGAATCAATGGCCAAGTATCGAACAAGTTATCAGAGAACTGGATGAAATTGTTTTATCCGAGATGGAATCAGGATTCTTCAACTTGACTTCAAGTCTTGGTCGAACGAAAAATGTGAACATGTAAGTTCATCTGAATTTTTTTATTCCTCCTTCAGGACATTTACCTATTAATCGATTTCTACTTTGTAGGGAGAACGGAATTGCCGCTGAATCAGATTCATTCACATCTGAGATGGATTTATTCATGAAGAATTTATTTACATTTTTTTCCGAATTATTCGTAAAACAACATTTAGACATGATGCCCATTTGCATTAAAAAATTTATCAAGGATCACAACAAGAATCCAACAAAGATACTGTATAATTTGGTCAGTCAGCGTCGACCTTATTATACCAGCATGGTTGGATTTTTTTATAAACATAGTATTGGGACAATCGCTGATAATAAGATAGCGTTAGAATTCTATTCACAAGCCACCAATGGGGTAATTGATGAACGGGATCACTCTTCTGATGTACCATCGTTTGTTAAGTCATTTAAAAAGGACAATAAGGCTATCGGGCAGATACTGCTCGCAAATATTTATTTATATGGCAAAGGTGTGGCAAAGGATGAAAAAAGGGCTTTTCGACTTTTCGAGAAAACAGCAAAAGAGGGATCCACTCGAGCATTGAATTATATAGGGTTTTGCTATGAGTATGGATTGGGCGTGGAGAAGAATGATAGCAAGGCATTTGAATTATACCTGAAAGCAGCAGAGCAAGGAAATCTTGTGGCACAATGTAATGTCGGATACTGTTTCCAAGAAGGTATAGGCACAGGGCGAGATGAGAAAAAAAGTTACATTTGGTATTCAAAGTCAGCAATGGGAGGAAATATCATCGCATATTATTGTGTCGGGGAAATCTATTTTTACGGGAGAGGAGTCAAGAAAGATGAACAGTTCGCATTTCAATACTATTCAAAATCGGCCGAGAATGATTATGATGGATCTCAGTGCGACATTGGCTATTGCTATGGATTAGGAATTGGTACCGTCAAGGATGAAAACAAGGCGTTTGAAAATTACATGAAAGCAGCGAAGAATGGAAATGTGGTCAGTCAACGATTGTTAGGAGTTCGATATGTAAACGGGACCGGGACGTCCAGGGATTTTATAAAAGCCATCTATTGGTTAAATCTGGCCAAGGAAAATGGGGATGCCGATGCAGCCGATCTATTACGTGAAATCATCAATCAAATAATTTATGACCTATCATAATTCCTAGGATCGCGGATTTTTTTTTTGTTTTTTTTTTTTTTACCAACAAACATGCGACCAGTGAATCTAGCTGGATAAATGCTGAGATGTGGTCCGGTAGTACATCGGAAAAACGATCAAGCTCTCATGATAACGAAAGATTTTACAGTTATTTATTCATTTTTACAATGATCAATTCTAAAGCATCAAGAAATAAAAAAATTACGCACCATCCATTCATCAATCCCAAACTCATTCATTCCTATATTTAACTAATTTCTTAGAATACCATTTTATTTGGTACTAATATTTCAATACATTAATCATACATGAATTGAACTTTAATTGTTAATAAAATATGTACTAACTCTAATTAGACAAGTTATCATTGTGTATGTCTATATCTATACAGTATATGTGTTTATATAAACAAAAACAATAGATGAGGTGGATGTTCTTCATGGCTAGTTAAAAATTTTAATGATACACTAACTAAACATTGTAACATATTGAGATTGTTCTTCCTTCGAATCACTGTATGCCAACAATATTTTTATTACCTACCAACCATTCAACCTGTGTTATTAATATTACACCTGAAAGACAAAAAGAAATGGATAGATCATATACAGTAAATTGGATGGAGGTTTATAACAGTAAGAACATAAAACCAATTATGTCCTCCAACTCGTCAATAGCATCGGTATCTCCATTATCCGCGGCCTTTTGCAGCCAAAATATAGCTTTTATGATATCTTTTGTTATACCAGTTCCGTTCATATATCTGATGCCTGTCATACGTTGACTAAACACATTTCCATTCTCGCCGGCTTTTCGATACCATTCGAATGCTTTCCTTTCATTTTGAGCGATTCCCTGACCGATCCAGTAACAATATGCGACATTACTCTGAGAGCTGCTGTATCCTTCGTTGGCACACTTCAGATACCAATAATAAGCAATCTCCTCATTCCTTTCCACCCCTTGCCCATTTTCAAAACACCAACCGACACAATATTTTGCAACCACATTGCCCTCCATTGCTGCCTTTAGATAGTACTGGAATCCCTTGATCACATCCTTTTCGGTCCCCACACCATCTTGAAAACCATAACCCCGATTACATTGCGCCACCAGATATCCCTGCTCGGCTGCCTTTGAATACATGATAAAGGCCTTTTGACTATCCTTGGTAACTCCGTATCCTTTTTCAAAACAATATCCTATGTAGTTTACTGCTCTGCTTGAACCCTCCGCGGCTGTCTTTAATAAGATCTGGAAAGCTTTCTTTCTATTCTGTTTTATCCCCTTGCCATCTATATATAGACTTGCGATGAGAATCCTACTGTTGATGATATTGTACCTTTTGAACGATTTACTCCACGTTTCGGAATTGGGCATCTCATTTGGCGTTTCATTCTCGAAATCGAAAGTATCATTAGCAGCCAGCGAATAGTATTCGAATGCCATTTTGTAATCTACCACAACACCAATCCCGTATTGATAAAAGCAACCTATCATGCTCGTAAAGTAGGATCGATTTCGATTTTGGAGCAACTGATGAAATACTCTGACCGGGTTCTTCTTGTGATCTTTGATATACTTTTTAATCAAAACCGGTGCCATGACAAGATGTTGCTTAAAGAATAAATTCGTGAAAAAATGGAATAGACTTTTAATGAACATGTCAGTCTCCGTGGAAGAGCGAACCGTGGATTCGTCGGACTTTTTCAACGATTTGGATTGAGATTCGGGTATAACATCCTCGCTAAATAAAAAAGGTTTTGGCATTGTTGAATAACGTGATGTGAGAATATCGAAAGAAAAAGGATGGTTGCAATCAATCCATACGCATTTAGGATGTCGGCTTTTATCAAACTCTTGTTTTGATTGTCATTGAAAAGCGGTATTAAAATCTCGAGTTCGCTTATTTTATCCGAGACATTGATTTTCTTGAGATCCCTGAAAACTTGCGAAATATCCGGGCGAAGCCTTTCTTCGTGTTGCATACAATCTGCCAAATAGAATTCTTTTTAGCCGACTTTCCGTCAACCGGGTAAAACAACAAAAAATTCTTTTTTTTCCCTCGACCGGTAACACCGTACCTGTATAAATCTTGAAATATCCACGAGGTATACCCGCAATAGGTTTATTTACATTACACTTTTTAATGTGATTCAATAATTCATTTTTTGACAAATGACCTGAATCCGGTATCGACTCGAATTGGGTGTCGCCGCACGCAATTTCCCGCATAAGGACACCCAAGCTGTATATGTCTGAACTCCTTCTACACTCCGTGGAGTCGCATAGCCTCAAATACTGAGAATCCAAATATTGAACTGAATCCCGGAATTTTTCGGTCAACTTTCTGGATGCAGACATCCTTGTGGACACCTTGAAGCTGCATAGTTTAATGCTTTCGTTGTGAACAAAGAGATTTTCAGAGGTCTACACGAAAAACGCATGAATCACGAGTTTAGATCAGAACTAGAAAATTCGCAAGGGCAATCAAAAAATTTTTCTCCGATCGATTACCAAATTTCCATGAACCATGTTAATTGAATGAAGATACATTAATACACTTGCGATTTGTCTTGCGAGACACAATCTCGTTCTCCAGTTCATCGTCTTGGAATTCTCTTTCAAATACTTTTTTAGGGTGCCACGATTAGCATATTCAAGAACTAGCATGTGTCTACTTGGGTTTTCTGTAGACCCGTAAGAATAAGCTAGTTAATAGATGAAAAACTCTGAAAGGTGTCGGCGGGATCCCCTCGATTCGTCCATTCATTTACCTTGTCTGGTAACGCCGTGCAATTTTAAAACGTTGGTACCTTCGCGGGCCTTTAACTTTTTATATTTTCTTATCTTTCAAATTGAAAATTGTCAAAACTTGACATCCTCCCGACGATTATCAGTAAGAAACAATCAAGACTCACCTCGTTAATCAAGTCATTTAAATTAAATTCTTCGCTTAGATGAATTCGTTTAAGAATTACGGCTTTTCTGTTATTCCTCAGGGTCGCCTTGAAGACGCCCTCGGTTGCTGCTTCGGTTGGATCAATCGGATTCACCTCATCAAACATGTTGAATTGGTAAATCGCGATGCCTTCTTTTTGAAATACATTATCTATTGAGTTGTTCATCATCCACGATTCACATTCGGTTGTCGTTTGTTCTCTAATAATTTTTTCAAATTCAAAAACCATGTCGAAATCGACACAATAGGAGGATGTGGGTGTATGCACGTACGCACATACATACATACCGTGCATGCATGCATACATAAATGTGCGTGTTACAGTACTGTAATAGCCACACGTATCTAATTTGACTTACCTTTTTTGGATTGTGGTCACCGTCGAAACAAGTGTACGTACGTACGTACGTATCGGGATGTCCATCGAAGCAAAAATCTGCAAAAAATCGGTCCCCCGAGTATCAGGCGGCGGAACGCTAGAGTGAAAAATTCTTTTCGCGCCGAATTCGTTAATTCGTTATGTCGTCAACCTCAACCGAAGAACCCTTACAAGCCATCATGTCTCATAACCTCCTCACTGGGGCTTATCATGTCATTGTAATTATATTATGCAATCAATTAATTTATCATGTAGATTTGAGATCACACATGATTAATTAATTAATGTAAACAGAAAAATTTTTAAGGATAATTAAAAATCATCTCTCATTTATTGGAACTAAAATCTTTTCCACTTATTATTTTACATTTTCAATGTGCCATGTCACCTTTACCATTGTCATTTCAAATTTTTAATTGGTAAGATTCAAACGATAAAATGATTTTTTTAAAGAATCCTAAAATCAACGGAAAGTCAGTCCGCACGGAATCTTTAAAACATTAGCCACGCATTCAAAATCATTGACCGTCAGCCATTCACTCCATAAAAAAAAAAAAGCGTAGTATAAAAAAGGTTGGATGTATTATCCTTTTTCTTTTCTTGAGCTGTCGCATCGTTGCGTCAATCTTATAACAACGTATTATGCAGGTTGTATGCTCGGGGCGAGATGTGCACTTGAAGGTTTCTCTGTATCGCGCACTGTAGATACGTGCGTAAGTACTTACGTACGTACCTACGTACGTATACCGTGATTGGGGCTGCCGATGATCCCCTAACCTGTGTTTAGAATATTTAGAATGGCCTTTTTTAGAAATACGTGCGACTTGTTTGCACATCAAAAA